TTTTCTCATTTCGACTGGCACAGGGGTCTGTTAGCACCTGCACAGATTACCTCCTCTGAGCTGGGAGAGGTGGGACAGGGGCCGGGAGCAGCGGTAGGGATGGTGACCCAAAAGCCCTTTCCTGTGGGCTGGGAGCAGCGGGAGGGATGGTGCCCGGGAAGCCCCTTCCTCTGGACCAGGAGCAGTGGGATGGCGGCTCAGAAGCCCCTACCTCTGGGCCAGGAGCAGCAGGACTCAGTATCTTCATCCCACAATTTTCTGTATACTGTTGAAATTGATTTTCATATTTTGATTTCTTGCTTTCAAAATATTGGTCTCTGAACACCATTACCAGATGCTTTTCATTTTATTTATCAGCAGGCAGTTTTTCATAAAGACTTTATAAAGTAATTAAAACTCTGGAGTCCCTCATGAGAGAAAATATTTGTGCCACTAAGTGCATAGGATGGTTAAGATGATTATTGAGTGCATGAAAAAAATTTAAGGTGGAATTAAGTGAGGAAATGAGATAAGAAAGGATGTACTAGGACTTGTGTAGAGATCACTGTATAATAATTACTGTAGAGCTACATTTTATATTTTTTAAGAATTTCATGATTTGTTTTTATGATATTTTGCTGCAGGTTAAAGTTTGGATCGAGTCAGAGTGCTGCATTAGGGAAATGAGGTGACCTATGGCTGTGATGTCTTTGAAATTGTTCCTGCATGTTCTAGGGTTAGCACACCTCCAAGGCTGGTGGGTTCATGATATTGCAGGCTGACAGGAAAATATTTGTGATAGATATTTTACCCTGTGAATGTCCCTACTTTATTCAAAGAATTCTCATTAGTATTTTTTAGCATTTTACAATTTACTTTTGAAGTCTCTTAAATTCTTTTGGAGAATCCCTGATCTCTGCTTCTTTTGACTTTTTGTGTTACTTGAAGTTAAGCTTTTTGTTAAATTCAAGTAAGCTAAACATTGAATACTTTTATCTGACACATGCAAAATATCATGTGTACTCATATTTTTGCTGTGATCATACTAGCTCATAATTTTGCTACTTCAATTTTTAAAATTTCAGTGGATTAAAAGGATTTTTTCAAAATTTAAACCATGTTCTTTAACTTTGTTATAATAATGGAAGGTAATAGTTTTCATGCTATATGCATGAGCCTTCCCTTATTCAGCTCCCTAACAAAATGTCTCCTGCACATTTACTGCTCTTCAGTCACAGTGCAGTAGAGAAGGCTGCACAAAATAAGCCTGGCTTTGGAGGCCCCTCTTTGTCGGGAGGGTGCTTGTGTGGATCGATGAAGAGAACAATTCCCTGAGAACGCTGAGGGACTGATTTTAGATGTCAATCTGAGGTCCAGATGAGTGGCCCCCTGACAAGACAAATAAGGGTCTCCACGCCTGGCTTTAGTTGGTGTGCTGCTTTAATGACAGTGCAATAGCAGGAGGAGAATGTGTTTTCCTTCTCTCAGAACAGGTCATTGGTTTCTGTCTGTTGCACCTTTAATGTGCGTGCTCAGTGACCCAAGCCTTGCTTCATTGTGTACACTTTGAACAGAATTGCAGATAGATTCTTGTATGTAGGACACAGTTCCTTGAGTAGACAATGAGTAAATAGCCACTGAATTGAGAAGTATCAAGCATTTGTTGGTAGTCATATTGGTGTTGGGCTAAAGAAAAGAACCCTACATGTCTGTGTGAAATATCGAAAATGGGACCAATTTTTATGCTTCGTTATTTTATATTGTAGAATTTTCTGAGACTATTTCTTTTCTGTCTTGTTTCCTTGAGGTGGAGGAGGCCTGCCATGAGACCCCCATGTCAGAAAGCAAAGGTGCGTAGCAAGGGCAGCTTCCCTGGAAGTTCATACACTCTGTGTCCTGGGCCCCATCTTCAGGCCTCATGTTTGTTCTTCCAGAGGTGTTTTGGACAAGACATTTGGAAGGGTATAAAGATTTTAACTGATAAAGAACTGTGTGTGAAGTACTTGATGCTTGTGAAAGATAAGCGTGATTTTCATCTTGCTGGTTTCACAAATGACATTAGTTTGCATTAGTCAAGTGGAATGATAATGGAATTTCATATATGGAATCATTATTTGTTAAGGTAGAAACATATAACAGAAAGAAAACCCTTTTGTATTTTAGTTAAAATAATTATTTAGATTTTTGTTTCCTGGAACATTGAAAGGTATGTAGCATTTTTGGAATAGGTAAAAACTTTTTATATTGACAAACCTGCCACCAATTTTTTCTAATAATAACTTTTGAGTGTTCATGTTATTTTTTCACATGAAACTATGTATTTCAGTATGTGTATTCATTTCTCTAGAATCAAGTAAGGTGATTGAAAAGAGCTAGATACCAATAAGGAAACATGATGAAGAGTAAGAAGTATAGGCTGTTGGAGGAAAGAGCCCTCCTACATAGACATGCAAGCTAGAGAGTCCATCTGTAGAAACATTCTTTAGGGTCAGCACGAACAGGAAGAGCACTGGAATGTGATCTTGTCTATTATAAGTCTTTACTTTGCACATTTGTCTATATGTGTTAGTTTCTAAATAATTTTCTGTACAGTGGCTGCTCTTAGAGGAAGTAAATTGATATGCAGTCTTTCCACTGTGAATCACAAGTATTAAAATGTGCAACCGAATGCATTTATGTTTTTATAAAAAGGACTTTCTAGAAATGGAAGGTGAACTGTGATACCATCTCTCTTCCTTTGCGTTTCTATTTCCCTGCATTGTGCACCCCACGCAATAGAGCAAGAGGAAGAAATGAGCCTCAGTGATGTTTGGAGGGAACACAACTGTGTTTGCCAGTGACATGATGGTCTGTTTCAAAATCCCAAAACATCTATATGAACATTCAGAATGAAAAAGCTGAGTTTAGTAGGTTTAGGTGATGAAGTTAATAAATGAAAACAATCAATCATAGTGTTATATAATAAGAATGAAAAATTAGACTTTGAGTAAATAATTCTTTAGCATTTTATTGATGTGATCACAAATTTATGTGATGCTCTGTGCTAATCCAGTATATTTACACAGTGTATGATGGTCAGGTCATGGGAGTGAGCATTTCCATTTCCTTGTGGAGGCTTTGAAAAGAGGATGATCTGAAGATGCTATGGAGATTGCTAGAACGTAAGGAGGGTGACAGGGAGGGGCTAATGGGGTTCAGGTAACAGCTGCACAAATGTGTTCAGGAAGAGACAGCAAGCAACTGTGGGGTGATGCCAGTTCACGGGTACCTGTCATACTTTATGAATATTTCATGAATATGGTATCAGCACTTGTGGCTTGGGGTTCTCCTGCTTGTGGCCGTTGCTGGTCTTCTCCATTAGGTTTTCCTCTTAGAGGAACAGGTTTGAAGTCTCCCTGTGGGAAGTACACTCCCCCCGTTCCCTGTTCCTTGTTCGGAGGATGCAGGTCCACTGTCCATCAGTGTGCAGTCCCTCTGTGGGAGGTGCTGTTGCCCAAGGACATGGGGCCCTGACTGCAGTGCACACAGATGATGGAGTTATGCTGCGAAGGGCCCTTGCTGTGCTGCTGTGCCTGGAAGGGGCCCAGCATGAGTCTGGCCAAGAGCAGCACTCCACAGATGTTGGCCAGAGAGAGGCAGACACACGCCCAGTGAAGCACACACCTCAGTCATCCTGTGCACACATGGAAGCAACACACTCATGCACATGGAGGATCCCGAGGTATCTGATGAGGCACAGAAGATTACAGAGTGAGGGTGCAGGGTGGGGGTCAGGACTGGAGAAATGGGTGCTGGGCCCTGCCTCACATGTGGCTTTTCCCGTCTCCATCACTCAGGGCCAGTCGCTGTGGTAGGCACGCCGTCAGCTGGGTGTTTCCGGTTCCTGGGCCCTGGAGCACCCTATGAGGGCTGCAAGCCTGTGTCCCCCCGATGAGCTCCAGGCCTGTGGAGTGCGCAGGATGGTAAGCATTTCCTGCCGCAGCCTGTGGGTGTCCTTGTGAAGACCTGTGGAACCCCCAGGACTCTGTCC